TGTAAAAAGAAAAACACACACACACAAAAAGGTACATTAAAAGAAATTACAACAATCTTACAAACTCTGTACTGTAGGATAAGCACTCAACCTCAAGATCTGTTTGAACTGCAAGACTGGCAGTTCAAACTCACCAGTTGATCCTTGGAAACCCTATACAGGGCCACTATGCGTCAGAACCACTCAACAGCACTTGTATTCAGTTGCCCAGCTTGGAAAAGGCAAAAGTCAGCTTACTATGGAAAAACACACAAAACCAAAACACCACACTAATGAATCTCTTGGATCTAAATGAATACAAGAGGCAACCAAAATAAGGATTATTGTACTTTGAAACAGAAAGACAGGACCAGAGCCTTATGTCTCTCTCTGGATCCCTTTACCTGGTCTAGAAAAGAATTAGATATGACTACCTAAGTTCTCATTGGCAATTCTGTATCAGAATCACCCGAAGAACTTTATCAAATTATATTTGCCTATGTTCAACATCAAATCCACACATTATCTCTGGGGTTGGAGCCTGGTATTCTACCCTTTTTTTTTTTTTTTTCTCATAAGCACCCTTGTAAACCTTAGTGAAAGCTCAAAAAATATATATTAAATTTGATCAGTCTTGGCTCTGCATGAGTATCTCCCAGAGAACATTCTGAAATAGAGATTTCTGGATCTCTATCAGTTTGGAGTGGGATCTCAGAGAACTCTGATCCATTTGACACAGGCTTTAGTGAGCATCAACTGATCCATCCCTGAAGTACAAAGTATTCAGCTCAAAAACCTCTATGAAACAGAGAACAAAAAGGACCCTTCTTCCCCCCAAATCTCCTAGATAAACATTTGAGTGTATGTGAGATCATTGTTGCTGTTAGGAGGTGGGATTTATTACAAAAGAGATGGCAAATACGCTTAATTATTACAATATCACCTTTTCCTAAATCTATTTTGTTCAGTGATACCATTAATATTCAAATTTATTCACAAACCACTAAAGCCAGTCTGAAATTGATTACACATACAATGAAGATGATTGATAATTACTGGTGACTGGGATGCAGAGGCTGGAAACAAAGAGGATGGATTAGTAGTTGGAAATTATGACCTTGGCGATAAAAGGGATGCTGAGATCCTTTTGATAAAATTTTGCAAGACCAGTGCCTTGCTCATGGCAAATACCTTTTTTAAACAACATAAAAGACAACTATACACATGAACCTCACCAGATGGAATACACAGAAATAAAACTGACTACATTTATGGAAAGAGATGGTGGAAAAGCTCAATATTATCAGCCAAAACAAGACCAGGGGCAGACTGTGGAACAGACCATCAATTGTTCATATCCAAATTCAGTTTGAAGCTGAAGACAACTAAAACAAGTTCACAAGAGACAAAATAGGACCTTGAATACATCCCACCAGAATTTAGTGATAATCTAACAACAGATTTGATGCATTAGACATTAAAGACCAAAGACCAGAAGAGTTGTGGAATGACATCAAGAACATCAAACACTGAACAAATGAGATTTGAGCAAATAACTGAGAGAAATTTGTCATCATGGGATATGTGGGAAAAGAGTCAAAGCAAAGGTTTTAAAGTTGGAGCAGGCACAATGGTCTGTGTTGTAAGTATTAGAAATTCGGCGAGGTTGAAATAAAATGAATGTGAGGAGATTGTGATGAGAGCTAAATCAGAGGTAAGCTCAGGGGAGAGATTGCAGGACCTTGGAACTTACTGAGAGTAATCTGGCTTTGTCTCAGATGGAAAGTCATTGGAGAGTTTCAAGCAGAAGAGGGAAACAATCTGTTGTTTTAAAAGGTGTGTCAAGGTCACTCTAGGTATTGTTTTGTTATGAAGATGAGAGGGAGGCAAACATAGAAACAAAAAGCAGTTGTGTAAACCGAACGGTTGGACCCTGCAGTTCAATCTCACCAGCCATTCCTTGGAAACCCTACACAGGGTCACTAGGAATAAGAACCAGTTTGAAGGTACTTAATCACCACCACCACCAGCAACATACAAATAAGCTGGAATCCTGATTTGGTGTTATAGGATATGCACTGAAATGCTAACCATGAAGACAGGTGGTTCAAAACCTACCAGTCATGCCTTGATAACCCCATACAGGGTTGCTATGAGTCAGAACCAACTGCAAGGGAGACATACCTAAGTTTTCTGGCTTCTGAAATTATAAGAATAGTGCACCCATTAATCCATTTAAAACTCTTTTCTATATACACTGGCTTGAATCAAATCTGTTTTTTAAATATGTGCTCAAATGCTATATAGATATAGGTAACATTCATATATATAATCCCCCTACCCTCAGACAAAAAAGTAAATTCACTGTAGCATACTTCATTCCAAAAAGGATGAAAGTAGCTAAAAAAAAGATGGACAGAGCATGCAAGCAGCTAAAATTCAGTCATTCACGGACCATTTATTGACCATTTACCATGTCCTAGGCAGTCCTGGAAGGAGCTCTGGTAGCATAGTGGTTACGAATCAGGCTGCTAACCTCAAAGTCGGCAGTTCGAAACTACCAGCTGTTCCACGGGAGAAAGATGAGGCTTTCTGCTCCGGTAAAGATTGGCAGCCTTGGAAACCCTGTGCAGGGTAGCTATGAATTGGAACTGATTCCATGGTACTTAACAACAACAAGGCAGTCCTGGTGTGGCGCTGTGACTTAATGCGCTGGGCTGCAAAGTCAATATGAACTGCAAGGTAAGCTGTTCAAGCTCACCAGCTGCTCTTCAGAAACCCTATACAGGGTGTGGTCGCTAGGGGTCAGAACCTACTCAGTGGCACTGAACAACAGCAAAGCAGTGTGGAATCCCCCACCCCCACTTCAAGAATCACATAATAAGACTTATTTTACTCCAGCCATAAGGAACTCACCTTTATCGCTGTACGATAAGCAGTGGACCACAAGAGGAGTATGTACAGCAAGGTCTGCAGTTCAAATCCACCAGCAGATCATTAGAAACCCTGTACAGGGTCACTAGGAGTCGGAACCGCCTTGAAGGCACTAACAACAGCAGCAGCAGTCTTGGACAGACAGGTAGGCTAAGTACTACTCACAGTTTAGAGACGGTGATTTGAGGATATAAAAGGGGTAGAGCCTAACTCTGCATAGGCTGACTGATGGAAGTGAGACTTTACAGAAAATATGTAGACAAGTCCTACATTACTTAAATTTCCCCTGAAATATATTTAATGTATGCTGAGTTCTTCACTTTGCTGTATATTTTGTTTCATAATTTCTTCTGTACACAGGTTGTTATGGTCCATAGTAAAATGTATTTGTGGAAAAGTTTAATCATGTTTAATAGCCACAAAAGGAAAGGCCATTATTAGTGTGGAATGGTCATGAAGCTCTACTCCACGCCGATCATGGAGGTCCTAGAGCTAGGACCCCCAGTATTTGGCGTTTAAACTGAGTTAATGCTGCTTGCTGTGGTTATCAACCCCGATGGCAGTAACTTCAACACTCTTGTAGTCTAAAAAAACCCAGCAACCAGCAAAGGCCCAAGTAATAAAAGACTAAGAGATTCTTAATAAACTATTCCTTTATGGAAACATGGAAGCTGTTTTAAGTTAAAAAAGAAGAAAAATCATATAATACAAACCCAAACAAAAAGAGAAGGAATGATAAAAGGAATCGTGTTAATAACCCTGATTATAAAACATGGCACAAGAAGGCAAGAAGGAATTTTTAAAAAGGAAAACAATGAATGAGAAAACAAATTAAGTTGTATTCTTGAATTTGTCAAGGATTTCATTTTAATTGGATCCACATTCAATGTTCATGGAACTAGCAGTCAAGAAATCAAAGGACATACTGTAAGGGGCAAATCTGCTGCAAATGATCTCTTTAGAATGCTAAAAAGCAAAGGTATCACTTTGAGGACTAAGGTGTGCTTGATCCAAGCCATGGCATTTTCAATTGCCTTATAAGCAAGGCACATCCCCACTACCATATGCATGTTGGGTAAGAAAGACCTAAGGAGAATGTACTGTAGAATGAGTACTTGACTACAAACCACAAGGTCAGCAATACAAACCCACCAGCTGCTTCTTGGAAATCCTATATAGGGTTCTATGATTTGGAACTAACTGGACAGCACTTAACAACAACAATGACGAGAATATTGAATGCAGACTTCCAGAAGAATGAAAAAATCTG